TTGAATATTTACACTAACAAAAGTAAAATCAAATAATTAATTAATCATAAAAGATATAATAATTTAACATGGTTCGGCCAATCGACTTACGTCCACGAATGAAAAAAAATATTCACTAATTGTATAGAACTGCAAATATATATCATATCAATCTCACTTACTATTAATACCCATAGACCTTTTCAATCTTCTTTAGTCCTATGAAATATTTTTAATCCAAATAAACATATATCCTTATACACCCATGCACTATATTTATGTAGACCCTTTCAGTCTTCTCTAGTCTACTCATAAATATTCAATCATATATATCCATAAGATGTTAATCTCTAATAGTTCTATAAGGTATCTATCATATAAAACCCTATAATTCTCTTATATTTTTTTCTCATACTTAACTTCATAAAAACTCTACTAATTTATAAGCATACAAATTTGCCTATCAAAAATCTCTTTCTTCTTAAAATTATTATCTTACAAGTTTTCTTGTCTATCAAATAATATCTAACCAATTCCAAAAAAATCTCTTGTGAGATTTGAGTCATTATTCTCAAAATCTCCACCTTAACTCAAATTCTATCAATTATCAATTTTCATACTAAACATACTTGGTTTCACCTGTAATGGAAGTCTCATAATCATCTTTTCTTCTATTTCTTCATGCTTTTATGCAAATCAATCCTCAAAATATGAGCTCGAACTCTTTCATTGTATCGAGCTTTTCTAGGTTTACCTCTTCCTGTGTCTTGAATCTTCAACCTAATATCATTTATTAGGTAAAAAGCCTTAATCTAATTAAACATTCACACCAATGAAAGCAAAATCAAATAATTAATCGATCATATAAGAGAAAATAATTTAACGTGATTTGACCCAACCGACCTATGGATGAGAAAAAAATATCCACTAGTTGTAGAGAATTACAAATATACATCAAATCAATCTCTCTGACTATTAATATCTATAAATCCTCTCAATTTTCTTTAATCCTATAAGGTATTTTTTATCCAAATAAAAACATATCCATATATGACTATGCACCATATCTATGTGGACCCTCTTAGTCTTCTCTAGTCCACTCATAAATATTCGAGCATACACACCTATAAGATGCTAATTTTTAGTAGTGCTGTAAGATATCTATCGCATAAAATCTTACAACTCTCTTATATTTTTTTATACCTAACTCTATATAAACTTTATTTATTTATAAGTATACAAACTTGCCTATGAAGAATCATTTCCCTCTTAGAATTCTTTTTTTGTAAGTTTTCTTATCTATCAAGCAATATTTAACCAATTACAAACAAAATCTGTTATGGGATTTGAGCCACTATTTTTAACAATCTCCATTTTAACTCTAATTCCATCAATCATCAATTTTCATGCTAAACATGCTTGACTTCACCTGTAATGGAAGTCTCACAATCATCTTCTCTTATATAGTTTCATGTTTTATGCAAATCAATCTTCAGAACACGAACTTGAACTCTTTCACTGAATTGAGCTTTTTTAGGCTTGCCTTTAAGGGTATAAATGATATATTAGTACTCATAAGCTATTCAAAATTTATCAAATAAAACTTGAATTCAACTTGATTATTATCGAGTTGAGCTCGAGTTCGAGTAGCTCGACTTATCAATCGAGCCGAGTTCGAGCATTCATATACTTGACTCAAGTAGCTCATAAGCCTAATTGAGTTTTTATATTTTAATATATTTTAATTATTTTAATTAATAAAATATATCGAACTCGAGCTCAAGCACAAATAATCAAGCTTTTGTCGAATATAAGAATCGAGCATATTTTTACATGTTAATTGAGCCCCAATCGAGTGAATTCGAGTAGCTTAATTTCTATCTTAAGTTGAGCTCGAGTTTAAAAAATAAAACATGATCGAATTTGAGCCAAGTTTTGAGCCTCAAATTTCAAATCAAGTTCAAGTCCGAGTTTAATACTGTATCAACTCAGACTTGATTCAGTATACCCTTACTTGCCTCTTATCGTGTCTCAAACCTTCAACTTGATACCACTTGTTAGGGATCACGACAGCTCTGATATCACTTATTAGGTAAAAAAGCTCTAATCTAATTGAACATTCACATCAATAGAAGCAAAATCAAATAATTAATCGATCACATAAAAAATAATAATTTAACATGGTTTGGCTTAACTAATTTATGTTAACGGATGAAAAAAATATTCACTAGTTGTAAAAAATTACAAACATATATCAAATTAATCTCAGTCATTATTAATACTCATAAACCCTCTCAGTCTCTTATAATCTTATGGAGTATTCTCAACCTAAATAAATACATACCCATATGCACCCATGCACCATATCTATGTGGACTCTCTTGATCTCCTCTATTCCACTTATAAACATTCAAGCACACGTACCTATAAAACGTTAATCTCTAATAGTCTTATGGGGTGTCTATCTAATAAAACCTTATAACTCTCTTACATCTTTTTTTTCATACCTAACTCTATAGAGACTTTACCAATTTACAAGTATACAAACTTGCCTATCAAAAATCATTTTCTTCTTAGAATTCTTCTCTTGTAAGCTTTTTTATCCATCAAGTAATATTTAGCCAATCCAAAATAAATCTCTTATGAAATTTGAGTCACTATTTTTAACAATCTTCATTTTGACTCAAATTTTATTAATCATCAATTTTCATGCTAGATATACTTGGTTTCACCTACAATGAAAGTCTCATAACAATTTTCTTTGTGTGTTTTTCATGCTTCATGCAAATCGATCTTCAAAATACAGACTCGAACTCTTTTCTTAAATTGAGCTCTTCTAGACTTGCTTCTTCTCATATCTCAAACATTTAGCTTTGATACCATTTGCTAGGTAAAAAAACCTAATCTAATTGAACATTCACACCAGCGGAAGTAAAATCAAACAATTAATCAAAATAATTAATCAATCACACAAGAGATAATAATTTAACGTGATTCAGTCTAGTTGACCTATATCCACATATGAGAAAAATGATTCACTATTTATAGAGAATTATAAACATACATTAAATCAATTTTATTAACTATTAATATCTATAAACCTTTTCAATTTTTTCTAATCCTATAGAGTATTCTCAACTCAAACAAATATATATCCATATGCAACTATACACCATATTTATGTGACCCTCTCAATATCCTCTAGTGCATTTATAAACATTAAAATATATACACCCATAAAACATTAATCTCTAGGAGTCTTATAGGATGTTTATCCCATAAAATTCGTACAACTATCTTATATTTTTTTCTATTAATTTATAAACATATAAACTTATCTATTAAGAATTTTTTTCTTTTTAAAATTTTTTCTTGTAAATCTTATTATTTATCATGTAAAATCTAATCAATTTAAAATAAATCTCTTATAGAATTTAAACTATTATTATGAATAATATTAATTTGGATAAAAAATATTGTAGAATTTCCAATTAACATGATAAGATTATGCATCTAATTTGATTCAGAAAATTAATCATTTGGAGACGTAGAAATTTGCATCAAATTAATCTTGAGCTGAAGCAAAAAAATAAATAAATAAATAAATAAAGACCCGCGTATGGGAATTGAATAAGTTATGGGCACTCCCAAATATTTGCTACTGTATTGTTTATTAATCATTTTTTTTCGTACTTAAAACTTTCAAAATTTAAATTATGATTATAAAAATTAAAAATATAATATTTTATCAATAAATTACATTATGGTTGAGAATTACTAATCACTTTGTAAATATGGGTAAGAGAGCTTAGCAGTATGTGATACCATACTCCCATAAATAATTTTATTTTTATTTTTATTTTTAATATTATTTTATACAATCAATTTATATTGCCAAGGTGATGTATGAATGAATACATTGTATGTAATTTATATTTTTGATTTATTAAAATTTTATTTTAGATTTAAGTCACATTATGTGAGTATTTGCCTCAACTTTTTGTTGCTTTATGATTTTTTTTTTTGGGGTAAATATACGTTAATTGCTACTTATTAGTAGACTTTTATTCTGAAAGAAAAATGAAAAAAAAAGTTTACTTGGTATATATATATATCGAAATTGGTTTATTATTAATCTTTCAATAAATATAAGAAAAAGAATAAATCTAATTTAATTGAAGAAGCGGTTTGCAGTGACATACTACTTAATAGAATAGATCATTATTATGCTGAAGTCGTGAAATTTTTTGGACAGCCAATAATAAATCTAATTATACAAAGATTTTTCCTGCAACCATGGTCCTAAGTCATTTAGGTCTCATAAATAAAGATAGCATAAATTTCAACCATGCAAACTTAGCATAAATTTCAACCATGCAAACTTACTTATAAAACCAAACATGCTGTAGCTTTCACTGTCCCTATAAACTTTATTACTTTTCTTGTTTGTTTGCAATTTCTAATTATTTGGACTTAGCTGGTTTCACACTTAATCTAAGCTTTTTTCGTGGCCTCAATCAGGCAGTGTATCTAACTTTTTACATTAAAAAAATTCATTGGCATGCAAGATAGCTACAAGCCATTTCCTTGGTTAACAAGTTTAATTTATCTTTCCCATTGACAAACAAATAAATGTATCATCAAATTGGTCCAATTCCTTGAAATTTTAGTCAAAATAAACCATTATAGAATGAATGTGTAAACAAGAAGCATCAATTTGTCTTTTAGAAAGCTATATAGGAAACAAAAGATAAAGTAAAAATATGAAACAAGGGTCTAAAATCTGAGTCTTGAAAAGCTGTCACAAGTGAAAACATCGATCACGTAGTCAACAAACCTTACCTAATTGAATTGAATTGAATTATAATACTTTTTAAGTAATCTCCGTGAAGAAAAGTCACTATAAATAAAGTTATTTTTTATACATTGACAGTAAAAAAAATTTTTTTTATCTTCAAAAGCGAAATTCAAAGATTATCGCATCCCATTTTTTAAAATTTTTTTACTATAATATATGTCATCCCATTAGCCCTTGTAAAATCTAAAATAACACTTGAAAGACAGACAGGATTTGATTAGTATTATGCTCAAATGTACAAGAGAATGGTTTCCATCAGTGGTGAGAAAAAAATAACTTTTAACTAACAAGTGAGATTCTTAATCTACATGCACAGAGAAGAAAACTTCAGAAGAAGAAAAAAAAGATAAATCAGATAATGTTCCACCAAAATGAGAAGCTTTGTTTAACCAGCATGGAATATATTTATTTCTGCGCACTCCCCTATTTTAAGTTGAACACCATGTTAGTATGGATTATTGAAGATTTAATCATCACAAACCAGCATCTTTGCATATTGGAGCCTGAGTGACTTGATCAGTTGATAGGGTGCCCAAGTTCAGTTCATCAGTTACTGATGGAGCATAATCCATTTGATCCATACCAAGGGAAGGATTTTTCTTCTTATCTGTTGCCAGCAGGGCGGAATACGTTTGACCTGCCGCAGATGGGATTGAGTCCAACGGATCTATTGTTGGTTGAGATGTAGTTGGCGGAGATGGATTTTTTTGCTCTAGATTGTTTTCAACACTTTCATATTCCGAGAGGAGATCCATAAACTCATTAAGCAAACGCTGGACTTTTCTATTGGATGCCATTGCTGGAAGAATGTCCTCTCTTAAAAGTTTGTGCTTTCTCATTCCCTGCAAAGATCCAGATAGGTTAAGGGAATGAATCATTGCAGGAACCCCTCGAGGCTAAATCAAAAAAAGAAAAAAAAAAGTAGAGGGCTAGCATGTCAGAAACAGGATATGCGGCGAAGACCTGACCACAGGCTGGCGGGATGGACCTTGGACATGGGTTTCCAAGCCCCAGCCCAGCCCAAGATATTATTTAATTTTAAGTCCAAAATATATTTAAAATATTAACATTTAATATTTTAAATATTTTGCGGCCTCTTAGACCTGAAGGGCCAAGCCAGGCCTTGTGCAGGATTTTAAAAAGCTAACTAAGCCTGAACTGGCCGGCCCAGCCAGTAAACAACTCTAATGTAACGAGTCTCGTGTTAGATAAAGAGGCTTTCATTGAAAATTAAAATTAACAAAACAATTCCTTGAAACAATACTTTTGTTACCTTCTGAGGACATCAACACTCTAGAAAGATTTTAAAACTGATTGAACCAAAAAATTTAAGAATTATATGATTTATAAAGCAGCTAAGATGATGCATTTTCCAAGAAGTGATAATCCTCGAATATCAAGGCTATGATGGAAAAAGATGCACTAAAATCAATGGAGCCTTATTTTTAAGAAATTGGGATTACAGACTTACAAGTACATAGGGGTCCCAAGCAGGATTCTTGGAATCAGAAGCCATCCCGGTTGGTGGCCCGAGAAAACTTTCACAGACTTCTCGCAAACGAGATTCATCTGCTTCTCTGCAAAAGAGCATGTATAGTTTGTCAATGATTTATTTTTATGTTTGCGCCCAAATATGCGAGAGAGAACAGTATTCTGCAGAAATGCGTAGATGTGAAAGTTATATTTCAATGCACTGAATACAAGCTTCACATCTAGTAACAAAAACACATAAGCCTACATTGAGGAAGCCATAAGTGTTATTTTCTCAAAAATGCATTTGGTAGGGGAGAAAGACAAACCTTGCTAGGAAGCGTACGTAGGAAAGAAGGCTCTGGCGATATTCATTAGGGGATTTCAAAGCCAAAGATGATGCCAACTGAGCTTCTAAATGAGCACGTGTCTGCACTCCATCATCAGTTACCCTGTTGCACAACATGATCACTGGTGTAATTCTAGGAACAACACAGTTAAAAGAGCTTCTTAAAATAATTAAAAACTGGGATTTATTTAGAATTATTTCTTTAGCAGGTACTGTGTCAAAAGGAACTTTAGTAAGAGAAAACTGTAACTGAAATTCATGCCAGCAACAGAGATAAGATGTCAAACAAATACCAAGAATCAAATCTGATATGGCTTCAGGATTTTAGGGTAAAATATTAATAGCATCAAACCTGCTCCAGCCTGGCTTTCTGGCCAAATATTTCCTGACATCCACCTGAAGGGCAGCGAGCTCACCAGTGTGAATTGAACCCAAATTCCAAGAACTAGCAAAATTTGATGCAGGGAAGCAGTCATCTGCAACCCTCAGCCAACACCTGAGGCTCATGTCAAAGAGAAACGCATGCCGAGTAGCCAACACAATGAGAGGAAAACCAGATTTTGATAACTTAGCAGATATGACTTTGATTGTGCCTGAAAAGAGACATAAAAATGTCAGGAAATACGTGCAACATCCCACATGAACAAGACATCATAAGCAGTCAACCTTCTACTACAAAACAATAAGTCTTCAAACATCATACAAAGGCACAAATTATATCAAGTACATGTACCTTTCGCAGACGAGCTAAGGTCCAAAGTGATTAAAGATGCCAAAGAATCATGGAGGAGACAGTTCCTATTGAAGAGATCCCATAAATACAAAGATCCTTTCCTTGTGACCAACAATAATTTCCAGCTCTCATCACAATCTATGAATGTTGCAGCAGATCCTGTCATCATGGTAGGTAATGCACGTCTTCCGCACTTTGTATAAACCTTCAAAAACATAACCAAACAAGACTAAGGTTCATTTGCCAAACAATTTATGAAATCTAACTGTAATGATTAGCCAGGAATGATGCCATACAAGCACATGCAAGGCCCAAGTCTAAAGCCCACTCTTGAAATCAAAATGGTTAAATGCCTACACAAAACTATGGTAACACCACACCCCCAGCAAAAATGGAAAAAAAAAATAGTAGGAAAACCATGAACTTGATAGCAAGATACCACACAAAAAGATTAAAAAAAACATACAATTGCTGAACAGAAATTCCAATAGTATTGTCCAATGACTCCAGAACAGTTGTTACAGGATAAAGAAATATAAATTCTGCCTGGTTAAGATAGAGTGCTCTTACTTACCTGTAGACACCCATCTTCGCATCCAACAGCCCAGAAGTTTGCATTTCCAGCTAAAACAGAGACTTTTCCTGAGATACGGTCAGTCCAAAGAGTTTGAGCCCCTCTAGTGCAAACAATTTCTGTTTCTTTCATCATACATACATTTCCCACACCAACAATGTCATTCACAGCATGTGCCCTAGGACAAGCTTCCAAGCAAACTGGAGTCATATCCTCACCTTCTTTCTTGTCAAATACCCTAATTGAAAGAGATGTGGTCGAGGTAGCAGTGGAACCTGAAGGCTTCATATTTCCAGACTGTTCTACATTGATGCTATGATCTTGGCCAGTAGAGACTGGAACTTTCTCAATAACCAGGCTGTCTGTAACAGTAGCCCTGGCAGTGACCCCTGAGCGCTCCTTTAAGTCGGAGCTTCTGCTAATGGTTCCCCTGACAGAAGCTTCCCTCAAACTATCATCAGTAGGAACTATGCCATTATCATTTTTTCTGCGATCAGAAGACGCAACAGGGAAGTCTAGCGCTTGAGATTGAGCACTGCCACAAATATTTTCCTGCTGAATAGGCACACCGACTGCTTCAGGAATGATCCTCTTTCTACCATCAGCACGTCTATATTCTCTTTGTTTCACAGGACTAGAAATCCGGGCAGAACTCACCACTTTATTTAATTCGTCAGTAGCAGCAAGCCCACTCTTCTTCCCATTGTTATTCTGAGGCTCAGAGATTTTGTTTGTGACCCCCAACTCAACAGAAGTTTTTACAGGTATCTGGTTCTGCTGAACATCCAAACCCACTTTTTTGCTAGGGGTTTGCTTGGCTGAAGCAGCTTCAAGCAATAACTGTGCAGGACTCTCCGCCAAATTCGCCTGTCGACCTCTGACATCACCATAACGACTTCTCTTTAACTCATCAAGTTCAGCATCACTTAGCCTGTGGCCAAGTTCTTTCACTTCAAAATGGAAAGTAGCCACTGTCCCATCCAATGAACACGCAAAGAGAGAATAGCCATCAGGGCTCCTGTTTATGAAATGAGATTATCATTAAGAGATAAAGAAAAAATGGCATAAGGAGAGAAAGGCTACCACAATGTGAACAAATGTGCAAATCAAAGACAGAACACATACATCTTTCACTAAAATGAAAAATTTTACCAGGATAAATCCACAACACTTTGACTGAAGAAATGCTTGGCTACAAAGAGAGGGCGAGGACTTGCAGTAGTCCACACAGTTATAGTGCGGTCCTGACTCCCAATTGCAATTACATTATATGGCAACGATTCTTTCCCCCCAATCTTAGCAGCTCCATTTGCCCAGCCTACGGTTGTGGCTTTCGCTTCCTGTGAATTGGCAAAATTCCTTCTGAACATTGAGTGATTAAACTTCACAACAATAACCGGGGCATTGTGGCCTAAGAAGTCAAATGTTGCAGCCCATTCCCCTCTCTCTAGAACAGGTGCAGAATGCCTTGGCTTTTGGTAACCATGAGTGGTTGTTATAAAATGGCCACAAGGGGACCATCCAAGCCGCCTGAAAAATGTAGATCCCAGCTGAAAAGAACATGTTTCCATCAGAAAATGAAACAGAATTTAAGACCAAACAAAATTCCATCAACACAAATAAACATACTGATTTTGCCCAGTGGCCCTCTGTTCTATGAGCAAGACTCCAGTCACTTGTTCGCCATATTATCACTGTCTTGTCATCAGATTGACTCGCTATGAAGGACCCAATGGGATCCCAGGCAACTCCTTTAACAAGACTTGAATGACCCCTGAGCACAGCTGTGCAGATGCCATTGCTCATATTCCATATGTGGATGGTGTTGTCCAAACTCCCACTAGCCAATATTGAGTCATCAGGAGACCAATTAAGATCCACCTACTTCAAGCACAAAATAAAAGAAACTTCCCAGTTGGTCGATATCAAGTGCTTATCAGAAAGCACTACTTCTATCCTTTCTCAACCCACTCTCTTCTCTTCCATTTTCACCAAATCAAAATAAACACATACTTAAAAGTGCAGGCATTAGCAAATGTGTAGTGCGAAAAAGATGTTGCAAAAACTGAGTTTCAAGGTAAACTTATATGCTTCCTTAAGAATGAAAAATCAATTGTGTAGTGAGAAAAAGATGTTGCAAAAACTGAGTTTCAAGGTAAACTTAAATGCGTTCTCGAGAATGAAAAACCAATCAGTATGCAGCATAATAAAACTAAAACTAACTACAGGAGAGAGAGTTGAGATCTTATCAGTGGCTTTATGCCCCAGCTCCCAACATGAAGAACAATATCATTACCACATCTGCAGTGTGTCCCCTCAATGTCATCACAACTTTCCAATTTTCAACATCTGGGGGCTCTCCACTGCCGAACTCAGTGGTCCCCGAACCAGGCTTTCTCTCATGGATTAGAATCACTTGATCATCAGACCCCGATGCAACAAATCGACCATGCTTAGCCCACCTAACACAGTTGACAGACCCAAAGTGATCACGCAAGGTTGCAAGAAGCCTCTGTGTAGATTCATCATTTTCCAAGTCCCTGCCAATAGATTTCATGTTCCATATTCGAACCTGCACTTTTAAGACGATGCAAAAACAGTGATATTTAAGAACAAAAGATACCAATTTACATATAAACTAATAAAAGTTCTGTTTGTCAGCATACTTAGATAATCTCTGGCCATATCATTGTAGAATACATATGCTAATCTGCAACTGTGGTCACCTCCACCAGTAGCAAACTTAAGTCAAAAGAGAACACAAAGAGTATTAAGAAGGAAAGTTTTACCTTGTGGTCACCTCCACCAGTAGCAAACCTAAGACCACCAGGCTGAACATCAATGGAGAAAATCTGCATTCCCTCATGCCTAACCCAACTTGGCTTCTCAGCAATCATTTTTCTCTTCTTTTGCTACTTCACAGAACCCTTTCAAATTCTGCTTCTGTTTTCACTATATTGGGTGAAAACTCAAATAAAGACTAGTAAAGCTTATAGCTTCTCAACAAGGGAAACAAAAAAAAAAAAAAACCAACCCACAACTTAAATTGAAAATTAAAGCCAAATTTTTCTTAACATCCATAACCCAAAAAAAAAAAAAAAAAAAAAACCCAATTGTGGAAAATGACCAAAACCCAGAAAAAGAAAAAGCTTTACCTTGTTTCTGAAAAACCCAGAAAGGAAAATATGAAAATTTAGGGTTTTGGAGTGCTTAGAAGTAAAGAAAAACAAAGGTCGAAGTATGGTTAATGGGAAGAGAAACAGAGATAAAAAAAATTTTCAAAAAAGGTCTTTTCACCAAAGCTTATTCTAAAACTTAACTGAAAATAATAATTGAGGGTTTTCTTTTGTTTATGGTGAGAAAAAAAGCCCTAATTTCGATTACAAAGAAGCCAAAGGGTAAGAAAGAAAACCCTAGCGAAGAGGAGCTCGCACAAAAAGGATAAAACTTGGTCTTTTTTTAACGGTCAAAATCTTTCTTTGAATATAGTGTGAGAAGGTTCCTAAATACGAAAGACTAAAAATTTTTTTAATTACTATAATTCGTTATTGGTAAACAAAAACAATTAGCAGTATAAAAATATATATTTGATGAATTAATATATTTTTAGACAAGTTTTTTTTTTAACTGATTTTTGGACCAGTATTCAATTGAAAATTTGTAAATTGCACATGACCTACCATTACTCGGGTTTTTTTTGTCTTCCTTTTGCTCATTAACCTTTTATATAAACAGCAAAAACCCCTCCCACAAAACTTGTGAACTGGTACTAATAACAGGATAGCATGAGTTTGAGCATCTCTTTAAAAGCTCTTACAAGAACTCAAACAAAACATTCTTTCAAAACTCTCAACAACCCATTCTACAAATCTCTCTCCCATTTCCAAACCAATGAATTGAACACTCAAAGGTCAGAGCTTTTCGCAAAATCTGTTACTTTAGAGCAGACTCCTGACCTGTTTGACAAAGGTCCTCAACCAGTCCTTGCCCAAAAAAACGGATTGCTTTTTGAGTACTCTCGCAATAACAAAAACAAGGAAGCTCTGAATCTCTTTCTGGGTATTCATAGTTTTGGATTACCAGTCGATGGGTCAACGTTTTCCTGTGTTTTAAAGGTCTGTGGATGCTTGTTTAACGAGATAGCTGGAAGACAAGTTCATTGCCAATGTTTGAAACTTGGGTTGCTTGAGGATGTCAGTGTGGGGACTTCCCTTTTAGATATGTATATGAAAACAGAGAATGTGAAAGATGGTAGGAGAGTTTTTGATCATATGGGGGAACGAAATGTGGTTTCTTGGACTTCATTGCTTGGAGGCTATGCACAGAATGGAATGAATGAGGAAGTTTTGGAATTGTTTGTGACAATGCAAATGGAAGGGATAAAGCCAAATCCATACACCTTTGCCGCTGTTCTTGGAGCTTTGGCATGTGAAGGGATAGTAGAGAAGGGTGTTCAAGTTCATAGTTTGATTGTAAAATTTGGTTTTGAGACTACAAATTTTGTGTGCAATTCTTTGATTAATATGTATTTGAAGTCAGGGATGGATAAAGATGCTAGAGCTATTTTTGATGGTATGGAAACCAAGAATGCAGTGACATGGAATTGTATGATTGCTGGTTATGTGACAAATGGGCTTGATTTGGATGCTTTTGAAACATTTTACAATATGAGGCTTGCTGGTGTTAAGCTTACTCAGATGGTTTTTGCTCCCCTTATAAAGTTATGTGCTAACCATAAAGAATTGGGTTTTGCAAGGCAGCTTCATTGCCGGGTTTTGAAAGATGGCTTTAGCTTTGACCCTAAAATCAAAACTGCACTTATGGTAGCTTATGGTAAGTGCAGTGAAATGGATGATGCATTCAAGTTGTTCTCAATGATGCATGAAGCTCAAAATGTTGTATCTTGGACGGCTATGATCAGTGGGCACTTGCAGAATGGTGGAATTGAACAGGCACTTAAACTTTTTTGCTTAATGAACAAGGAAGGTGTCAGACCAAACCATTTTACTTATTCTACCATCCTTACGGCTCAACCTGCTGTTTCTCCTTTCCAAATACATGCGCAAGTAATCAAAGCTAATTATGAGAAGTGGCCTTCTGTTGGAACTTCTATTTTAGATGCTTATGTTAAGTTGGGAAATGTTGAGGAAGCTGTAAAAGCATTTGAACAAATTGATGAGAGGGACATTGTCGCATGGTCAGCAATGCTAGCTGGTTATGCTCAAATAGGGGACTCTGAAGGAGCTAGCAAAATATTTATCCGGCTGGTAAAGGAGGGGATTAAACCTAATGAATTTACCTTTTCCAGTGTTATAAATGCCTGTGCAGCACCCACGGCACCTTTAGAACAGGGAAAGCAGTTTCATGCATGGTCAATCAAATCAAAATTTAATGATGCTTTATGTGTAAGTAGTGCTCTTATTACCATGTATGCTAAGAGAGGGAATATAGATAACGCATATCAAGTTTTTAAAAGGCAGCGGGAAAGAGACCTTGTGTCATGGAACTCAATGATCTCTGGATATGCACAGCATGGTCACGCAAATAAAGCTCTTAAGGTATTTGAAGAAGTGCAAAGACAAAACATGGAAATGGATGATATAACATTTATTGGTGTCCTTTCTGCCTGTAGTCATGCTGGATTAGTGGATGAAGGTGAAAAGTACTTCAACATGATGGTAAAAAATCACCACATTTCTCCAACAATGGAGGTGTACTCTTGCATGGTCGATCTATATAGCAGGGCTGGAATGCTTAAAAAGGCCATGGATATCATAAACAGAATGCCATTCCCAGCTGGTACAACTGTGTGGCGAACCCTCTTGGCTGCCTGCCGAGTTCATCACAATTTAGAGCTGGGAAAACTTGCTGCAGAACAGCTTATTTCGCTTCAGCCACAAGACTCAGCTGCATATGTTCTGCTTTCCAATATTTATGCTGCAGCAGGAAATTGGCATGAAAGAAGGAAGATAAGGAAATTGATGGAGAACAGAAATGTGAAAAAGGAGGCTGGCTACAGCTGGATCGAAGTTAAGAACAAGACTCACTCTTTCTTGGCTGCTGATCTTTCTCATCCCATGTCAGATCGTATATATTCAAAGCTTGATGAGTTAAAAACTCGACTAAAGGACATGGGGTGCCAGCCTGATACTGATTATGTACTTCAGGACATTGCTGATGAAGACAAAGAAACCATTCTTTCTCAACACAGTGAGAGACTGGCTATTGCTTTTGGATTGATTGCTACTCCTCCTGGTACAGCTCTTCAGATTGTTAAAAACCTTAGAGTGTGTGGAGACTGTCACACTGTTATTAAGTTAATATCACTGATTGAAGGAAGAGATATAGTAGTCAGAGATACAAACCGGTTCCACCACTTCAAAGCAGGCAGCTGTTCTTGTGGTGACTACTGGTAACAATTGATCGATGCAGCCCGAAGCTTCCAAAAGGTTACTTCAGTCATCTAGGTGCAAGGGGTGGGATATTTATTAGGTATGTGAGGGTTGCTGAGCAATAGGCGTATTTATCAGAGGCAAGTGATGGTTGCATGTGTTTCTGACTTTGCTGTAAACATGTTTGATGAGGTATGTGACAATTTATTGGGGTTGCTTTTGTTCTTTCTTTTTTTTTTTTTTTTATCCTGATTGTTACTCTTCAGTCATTGTGAATTTATGTTTCTATTTGCAGCTTATTCTTCATTAGTGTAAACCAGGACTTCATCAACTACGAATTAAGTCATGGGATGGGAAATTCTTAAGGTTGTTTCTATTGCATTTGCATAAAGTTACAATGAGAGAAATTAATTAATCACTTGAAGGCACCCTGTGCTCGTCGAAGTTTTAATATGCCTTCTGATCCAAGATGACAGGCATACGTCTTTCTACCGTCACATTTCAAGGTGCTGATTCTGCTAAAGATTGAAGGTAAACAAAACTCTGGTGCTAAATTTTTCATTCAGCTCCATGGAAGATTAACATTCAATTTTCAGAACGCGTATAGAATCTTAGAAATGGGTCATCAAACAACTCCATATGGTAAAAGCTTTATATGCTAGTTTGTAAGTACTGTTTTTTTTTTCCTTCTCTTTATTCTTTTTGACTTTTCTTAGTAGTTGACAGTTGTTTTTGTCTGAAATGACAAATAGAGAAGGCTAACTCAAAACTAGCTTTTCAAACCTTTGGACAGAAAGTTGATTCAGGATTTGACATAACTGAAAATAAATATGTAAACAATTCCCTTCATTTGTATTTTTAGATTCCAAACAGCATTCATGTTTGTTGAATTGAACCTATCGTCAGGTAATTGAACTTGAATGAACTTTGAAATACATTGATCCCTGATGTTACCAAGTCAAAAGATGAAGGAAATTTGTGAGTTATAACTCAAAGCTATCAAGCATCGTGGTTATGAAGAAAAGGGGTTTTGAAAATTAAATTATTTAAACATTTCATGCTTGCTGGTAAGCATACAAATGTATTCTGCACCAAAGAGCAGGCAATAGGAATAGGGCATTAATAAATCAAGATGGTAGTATTAAGAATATGCCTCTCGGGGACCAGGTTCACATCAGCCGACCAAACCACCGCTTCCCACCCCCCCCCCCCCCCCCAAAAAAAAAAAAAAAAAAAACTTTTTCCCCTCCATTTTCCCTCCAAACCAAACCTAACCAGCCCAACCCAACCGCAACCAACCAAACTCCTAACAGGTAGGGCAGCAATAGCAAATGCTCCAAATGATACTGAAAAGTCAAATCATTTAAAAAACCAGACAATTAGGCTGAAAAAAACAGGTCATCAAGTTTAGGCAGAAAAGGGCACAACTCATATTCCAGCATTATAAGCCAAATTACTCGGTAATCTTCTTTACATGGTAAAAAAAAACAAGCAATTCAATTAAGTGTCAAAGGTTCACGCTATCTGAATACAGGAAATGGGAGGTAGTCACCTTCCCCGCTAGATGAAGCTAAATAGAGATATTCCTTGGATGATCCTGCAGTTATTAATAAAATACAAATAGCAGAGACTGCACTCACGAGTAGATATATGTGACAATTTCATCGAATCCATCAACCTTCCTCTCCAAACTCATTTGTAAATCTTTCATGGACCTCAAGATCAGCTTTGCTCACTGTTGGCCTCTGTCTAGCAAGCACCTTATCAAAATCTGATCTTGAAATTGGAGGTGGAAGGATCTGCAGAGGCATTAATCAATGAAAAAGAAATTTTAATTTCTTCAAACGTCACAAATGGCTTAATAGTTATATACTTATTGCATAACAAAATGCTAACAATCTTCCAAAGTGTCTTCTGGAATATTTGATGAAATTTCTTTCTGTAATTGATTTTGTTTTCCATGTTTATTAAATTATGTGGTTTTTAATTTTTAATTTAGTTATCACACTGAAATAAGATAATAACATTTTAGACATATCAAATAACACACTCCAAACACTTCATCTCAATGCCATCTCCAAAAGCCAGGATAAACGCACACTAAAAAAATCATGACATAAGGTAATCTCCAAAAGTATATAGGAACAGAGGGATACAAAGGTAAGAACTCAAATACTTTCTATCTCAAGCAACTCCATACCTGTGCTGCAAGTCCCTTGGCTGCTAATTCCTGCATAGTGATTTGGATGGCACCTTGTTGCTTTGGTCCACATGGCATCCACATATTATTAGAGGTGTTGTAGAAAAACATGGCATCTTGGGTTTTACGTACAGGTTCAAAAAGAACATCCTTAACCTGTAAAGAGATAAACAAGTAAAAAAGCACACAAGTGAGTTACTCTACATTGGCCCTTCATAACAAGATTCACAGCCAAGACAGAATTCAGAGAAAGGGGAAGAAGAGGTAATGATCAAGCATATCATACAGATGCTGCACTTACACAAACAGATATGTCTGACCCTGAAAATCCCTCGGTCCGGCGAGCTAAGATTTCAAAATCACTTTCAGTCAAGTTGTGAGGGGTATCACCTAAATGCACCTGTTGTAATTTATTTTACCAAACAAGGCAGCCATGTCAAAAAAACCAAAAGGATTGAATGATTCTATTGTGAAAAAGAAGAATTTTCTTTCTTTTTTCTCAATAATTTGATGGACAATATCAGGGATAAGGTCAAGTACTTTGAACATATGTTGTCGAGCCTTCAAATCTGGGAGAGGAATGTAAATCCGCTTATCAAAACGCCGACGGATGGCCTGTAAGAAAAATCGATTGGTAAAAGAAATCCATCTCTGCTGATTCAAGATGAATATATGGAAATTTATGCTGATTTTCTCCTTTACCTGATCAAGTGCATAGGGAGTATTCGTTGCTGCAAGCACTAGAACTTTCTGATCATTATGTCCTACACCCTAAAACATCAAAAGCACAAGGTATAAAATTCATATTAAGCTTGAAATCTTGAAAGGACTCATATCTATTTGTCACAATCTAGAACGGGCATTAATAGGATATGAGCACCGAGTAATACAAATACAGGCAATATGGAAATTCTAAACATAAAGATGCTAGCATCATACAGAATACAGCAACAAAAACTATCTTACACAAATATATATTAAATAACCTCTCAACAGTATCACTTGAAAGTCTTTCAAGACACATAGATTAATTAAGAAAATTTGTGTTATACAGTCACAAGGTAATTTGCTTATCTTGCATGTCTTCCGTAAATGAGTTGATTCATGAATGATCTTCAAATTTTTTGCTTTCACGTTATGATTTGTATATCAACAAAATGAATGTGTAATCATCCAAAAATAAAAGGTCTTCAAATTTTGGACTTAAACAAACTTTATAATAATAATTAAAAAAAAAAAAGAAAAACCTATTGGGACTTGCATTAAATATTTATAAAGTGCAAACTTTCCTTTAAAAAAAATCATAAAAGAAAGACCATCAAATCCACACCAAGTACTGAAGATAAAATTGAAAACTGATCAGAGATTACAAGAATTTAAATCATGAGAAAATAATATCTCGAAAATCTTTCAGAAAAAAAATTTTAAAACTTTTAAAATTTTTTTAGCACTTTCACCACACTGATAAATACCTGCATCTGCACAAGAAGTTCGGTTTTGATACGTCTTGATGCTTCACTTTCGTTGCCCTCACCACGTTGGCCACACAAGGAATCTATTTCATCAATGAATATGATGGAAGGAGCACTATCACGAGCCATCTGAAAAAGGTTTGAAACCAGCTTTTCGCTTTCCCCCATCCACTTTGACACAAGGTCTGATGAAGAAACACTAGCAAAAAAAAAAGGGGGGAAGAGGGATTAAATTTTAAAATAGAAATAAGCAGAAACCTTATATACATGCACATAAACAGAGCAAAGGCACATAGAAGATTAAATACCATAAAAATGTTTGAAAAGATAATAAAAACATGAGTCAGAAAGGTAAATTTATCATAATATATTAATATCAACAACTTTCAATGAAAGCCTAGGTTTGCAATCTCAAAACAAAAGCATACAACTTGTAGGAAACACAATTTTCATGTCTTTATAGGAACGATCCTTACTCCCAAAGTATAATATATTTCGAAGCATATGCTTTAATATCACAGGGAGTCACAAATCCCACAATGCATCTTTTGGATGTAAGCTAAACTATAATAATGGAATGGCAGGATGCAACCATGGAAACATTTCTAAAACTCCCAGATGCTCTGCACTATACAAACTACACTAGCACGGTAAAACCTTAAATTATGTGCAAATGAAATCATAATAGTAGACCTTTGCATCAGTGGACATTATACATTGTATGGCTAGAATAAGTATACAACCCAAGGCCCATTCTTGGATCAAACACTGTAAAATCCTATCATTGTTAGTACAATTATTACTACTATTATTGTTGTCAAGTATTATAATTACTATATTACTTGACATAGGAAAGATTTAGGGTAATCAGTCATCTTCATTATTTTGGAGGACTTGGGGTTGGAGATGAGGAAAACTAGGTTTACAGAGTAGGAGAAAGCAAATTAGGGTTAGTGAATGAAATAGCACTTTGATGAAGACTTTAGTAATGCAGATGAAGAAAAGACAACGAAGATCGCAGGAGAGGAGGAGAACACAGTTACCCTAGGCATCCACGCTTGGAAAACAAAATGCTCACAATTACATAATCAAAAGCCTAGATAAATATGTACATTAGATTGGTATTTATAGACTCCAAGACTATTCTTAAATTCACTAGGATTAGGATTCATGACAGAAAACTACAATCAAATAATCAACTTAGATTCCAAGAAACCAACCTCAAAGCCTAGAAACTCCTAGACTAATATAAACTCAACAAAGGAATAAAAGAACCCTAGGTTAAAGGGACTGTAAATTAAACTTCCTCTCCTCAATTGCACAATACCTAGAGTTCTTAATATAAAATACTAGATTTTGGAAATAAAATCACATAAAGATGGAGGAGTGGGCCATAAATTTCAAATAACAGAACAATGAAGATGTAGAAATAAGGTAGGGACGTTTGCAGTACAGAAAGCCAATAGATATTAATAGATCAAAGAGTTTTTGTAGCAGATACAAGTCATAACCACAATATGTGAAAAATGCCACCTATTTGCCGATGCAATCCAATGATACATATATTGGAGTCTTTACTACTGCCACCTCTCCCTTTCTCCCAATAAAAGGAAAGTGGTGGGCGCATCACAGAAGAAAGGCTAGATAATACAACATCAGCAAACATGTGAAGCATCAACTTTTTCCCTTTGTTTTCATGATTCAATAGGCATCTTAAAAATTTTAAAAAAAAAGTGAAAAAGGCTTCAAACTCAGCAGATGATCAGTGAATATTCTGTTATGGCCAGATAAAGATATGTGCTAATCATTAAATTACCTGAAAAATGTGGAATCTGCTTCAGTTGCAACAGCCTTGGCCAAGTATGACTTCCCAGTCCCAGGTGGTCCATACAACAAAAAAGCTCTCCATGGCCTTCTCTTTCCTAAAGGAGAACAAGTAGGAAAATTGTAACAAAATTAATCCAATTATATCCCTGCATATGTAATGTTGAAACAGGATGAAAAAGCAGCGAAAAGGGGGATACACATTAGATTAAGTGAGTTTCTCTTCGTCCAATAAAACAGTTCAAGCAAACCTAAACCAAAGCAGTTCAAATCATAAAGAATTTATATTCTAACAAGGCCAAGCGGATAACCAAACACATCAATATGAACAAGGGTGCAAATATACGGACTGGCTGAAGATATAACTCTTTTCCTACCAGAACACAAAACCTCAACTAATCCCATACATTACTTTGATTTACTACACCTATCATAAGAGAAATTTTCAGATAGACGGCTAATGAGCTGAATTTTAAGTTGAATTCAAGAAATCCTACTCTAAAATTATAACAGAAATATAGAATACATTAAAAAGCATTTGACTCTCAAAACCAAATTAATTTTGTATCATGTGACTAAAATGGCACAGTGACAGCTGCAAAGGAGGTAGAGTCTATATTGGTGCAAGCAAAAGTTTCTAGCAAGAAATTGACACTAACAGAGGC